ATCCATCATGTGGACCCCTAACCATAATCCAAGTGAAACTAAATAATGAAATATAAATGAAACCAAAACTAAAACATAAGGAAAACTCCTACGTCGAATCGGAAGAGTGAATGGATAGTCTCTGCTCAGCACGAACCACCTCTATGGCTGGATCTGACGAACACTTGAAAAATAATAGTGGGTCAGGCCCACGAACAAGTTCTAATCTATTACATCCCAAATAGAGACCCGATACACGTATACATCCTAGTCAATTCAACAATAACTATATAGTCCGTATATATGTATATACATACTAGAGGAATCTCACTAGACTATAGGGTTATCTTAACCTGAATAGTAGGCAACATGCAAAAAAACACATATAGTGGGTATGAATACCTAGACCTACCAGGGTACACATCTACACTATATTTAGCTACACATCCCTGGCAATATACGCGCCCTAATCATAGATCATAAGATTCAAGCTTATATCATGGCACATAATTATATATATATAATCCAATAACCATCATATCCAGTATAAAGTAATCCTCTATAAATCATTCAACTTGTTCAGCTGACTTGACTTAAATATAGGTAGGACTTAACATTCTTTTGGTTAATCCATCCCTTTACATAAAAATAGGTAGAACTAAACTGATAAGTTAATCCGTCTCTAGAATGCCACCATCTCATTCTGGTGCATTACATTACACAATCCACAATTGATGAAATAAATATAATACTACATTAATTAAATCCAGAGATGAGCATAATATAAATCAGACATATATGGGATCATATTATACTAACGATATATGACTAAATCATATATATACCATATTAAATTGCTAAATTAAATTTAAGCAATTATACTCTCCATTAACAATATGCAACTCCATTTAAAATTTCATGTTTAATATCTTAGCATATTAATTATAATCATGCATTCCATAACCTCCATGAATTTATTTTAACAATTTAAAATAATTAAAACAAATCCAAACAACTATTAACATGAATAGTATAAAGAATAGTAAGAATTCCCAATCCTACGACATGTCGGTTAACCGAATCGTTTCTTCGGTCGGCTGAAACCCTTTCTTCGGTCGGTCGAAACGGCACTGCTCATCGTCTTCTTCTACGGGTTCTTCTTCAAACCTCCATTGTTGGAGATTCAAAGTTTTGATTTCTCTTCCTAGAATGTCCCAATACCCAACATACATCATATGAACATATTTTAAACAATCCAGAACACAAATCATGCATCAATTTATCAAATCATAAACAAAATATACAAACCCATTACATTCATATTTACATTGTAACTTTAGACTTTAAACATGTAAAAAGTTTGTTTTAATCTAAGTAATTTTCCTGGAATTGATCTAAGTCTGTATAAAACACAAGTCAAAAAGGAAGAGAAGAAATAGAACTTACCTTTGGATTTTTAGATTTAAAACCCCAAATCTCCTCCTTCATTTATTCTCTAAACTGACGACCCCTTTGGTTGCCTTGGCGACCTTTTGTTGCTCTTAGTATAGCCTAAGAGCAACCCCTTAGATCCCTCCTTGGTTCAACCTTTCTTTCTTGTCAACCCTTCTATTTATTCCCTCTCAAACCCTCTGTTTTCCTACCTCCCTTAGTGTCTGCATGAATAGGATTTTCAAACCTTTCACGGACGTACAACTTATATATATATACTAATATCTTATAATCCCTTTCCCTTCCCAATTCTAATTACTTTAAATTAATTAAATGAAAAAGGAAAATAAATATACTATATATACATATATACCTAAATCTGATAATACGTAATTTAGTTTAAATTATATTATATATTATATATATATATATAGAATTATACACATATATGAATCCACTGACTAATAGTATTTAATTAAATTAAATACCCCTAATAAACACATAATTAATACAACATTTAAATATACCATTAATACAACTATTAAACACTTAATTAATATAACATTTGAACATATAATTAATACAACCATTAAACACTTAATTAATATAACATTTAAACATACAACTTATAAACCATAAAATCAATACAACAATTAAACATATAATTAATATGCCATTTAAACACAAAATTAATACCACAATTAAACACATAATTAGTACACCATTTAAACACAAAAATTAACACAACAATTAAACATATAAAATCACATACAAAAATAGCCATAAAATCAAATAATCAATTAATTTAATTAAAATACAATAAAACAATTTAAATAAATATCGAGACTATACTTTTAAAATTAGGGGTATTACACGTTCCCCTCTCGAAATCGTTTTGTTGTCATCCCTATTTGTACCCTGAATTTTAATAAAATTTATTATAAACTTGCAGTGGTGAGATTTTAATGTAAATGTGATTGAAAATACCAATCTCCTGCTACTTATCTTCAAGACCAATCACAGGCTTTGACCCACCATCGGCTCTGATACCACTTGTTGGAGTAACAATTAACTCTATCCAACCTACTCAACGATCAGTTATTATTGAGAGTTAAATTCCTCATTCATCACACACAGCAGAAGTATTATCACATCACATCAACACAAGCATATATGGAGATAACAATTACACATATCCACGCACAACACAATATTTTACATAGTTCAACCAACTTTAGGGTTACGTCCATGGGAGAGAGATATTTCACTATTATGTATCAAAGAAGAGAATGTACAACCACATGTCAAAACCTCACTCATTCACTTATCATCTCTATTGAGGCTACATGTATACACTCGAGAATTACATATTTATCCCCTCTCCTCATAACATTCACCCTTAAACTTCTTACATCTTATCTCTCTACTCTCTCACTAAACCTCTTATACCCATTTCTATTTATAGAGTCTTCAGAACTCAATTTGTTGTTGGATAATCATTCCCAACTTGCTTACAAACAGTTATCATATTAATTCCGACTCTAAAATAGAAATTTAATGAGACATAATTTCCTTCACAAATTTCAACAGATCAAAACAGAAAAGAAAATTAATTTTTCTGCATAATTTTGAGTCACAAACCCAACAACGTGGAGAGGTCGGACAAACCACATGGGATCTAAAGGAATTAAAACCAAAAAAGATTGTAACATTAATATTTAATGATTATAAATTGAGCAAAGTGTTGTGGACCACACAAGCACGACAACTACCATAGGCACTGAATCTTTGCCCAACTACCACAGAACAACAAAACTGACTCCTTACGAAAAAAGCTGGAATAACTTTCATAGACATTAACGATATGTTGGTTCTAAATCAGATTTGAAGAAGAAGAATGTTCGATCACACTTTGAAGGGATCAAGTCGCTTGCGGAGTGCTGTTGATCTGCCAGTAATCCTTTTATAAGATTCGAAGCATAAGTCTGAAGCCGATAACTGTTAGACGGGAAATCGCAAAGTCAGGGTCGTTCAGCGGATTGAGTGTTGGTAGAACAAAGGGATTTGAGTCTTAATCAAATTAAGTTCGGTGTACTTTACTTCATACATAGCGGATCTTTTTACGTTTAGGATAGTGCACAAATCCTCAAGATATTCCATTGTTTAAATAACCAATAACTTTAGTAAAGTAAATTGAATTAAAAAAACACAGTGATTAATTCCTCTCTCAAAACAAATTTAAAACTCAAACTTTTCATGACTTATTCCACTACATAACTCACAAATTATACATATGAACCAAGGGATTTGAGTTTGGAATTTGTACATTGAACTTTAAGAAAAACCATAGACTTCGGTTCTCAATATATCATCCATCATCCCTCTGTATCTATATATATATATATATATATCAACCGAAAATCAGTTGTGGACCTGTGGTTGTGTCGTCATCTAACTTATCTGCTTGTGTGTACCACACGCCATAATATATATATATATATATATATAGACAACTCAAAAAAGAATATATATATAGCAGGCCAACCCATCAACCCACTTAACAATGAAATTTCCAAGTTCGGGCTAAAAATCTAAACCTGAGACTGGGTCAGGATTGGGTTAGCCCTTGTTGATCCAATCACTTGTTGGATTCGGATTGGATCCACCCAACTTCCGCTTCTAATTCATTTAAGTTAAATTTTCTGTTTAATATTAATCATATCTCTTGAACTAAGTTAAACTTAATTAGACAAAAGTTCACTTAGTAGCCTAGTTAAATAGAAATTTTTAATATTGTAACCCACTTAACATTGAAACTAAATAAATTATTTTATAGCCCTCGGAAAATGATTTTTAACTTATTACACCGAATTGTCAAACCTACTATTTTTAATTGGTCCTTTATGCAATAAATAAAATAGTGGCCATTTCACTTGCTTGTATTGGACATAAATAACCAATCAAAAATATTTGGTTAGGCAATTCATTACAACTATTAAGTGTAAGTATCATTACTTGCACGATTAATATTAAATTAACATCATAGTCCAGTTATGTTAACAATTAAGTTAATATTAAGTTTATTTAATATTAATTTTTTTTAATATTATAGCCTAGTTAATATTAAGTTAATTTAATGTATCATGGATTAATTTCCCACTTTTTCACAAATTAATCTCTATCTAACCGGGTAAAACTTTGAAGAATTCAAAAACAACTCCAAACGTGTTATTTGTTTGGGGTGATAAAATTTGACATAAAATGAATTGACACGATTAACTTGTTTAATTAATCTTATCGTGTTAGAGTTGAAGAGTTCAACACGTTTAACTAAAATTGTAAAATTATATTAATAAATTAGATTGAGTCGTGTTGGAGTTTACATCTCCAGTAAAATACACTCAGGTGAACGCAGAGGATTTCAGTCCTTAACTTGCCAACTCTAAAATTACATTACAAAGCTACCGATTTAAAATATGGTTAAGAAATAAGTTTTCAAAATGAATTTATTTTACAAAGATTGGAATACCGTAATATTTAATGATTAAATTGAGCAAAGGTTGTGTACCGCACAAGCACAACCACCACCACACGGAACAACAAAAGTGGACTCATTCCGGTTAAGGCCGGAACAACTTTTGATATTAACGATGTGTCGGTTCTAAAACAGACAAAAAACCCATAGCTTTCTTCATTTCAATTTTCAATTTACAAACTCTTCAAGCACACTCACTGAGTCACTCATCTGCTTCTCTCTCAACCACATTCATCTTCAGTTTCAGATTATATACATATATGATATATATATATACATATAGTTAATAATTATATACATGGATCTGGTGGAGGAGGAACGAATCATGGGGTGCCAGGTGGTTGCGATGCCTTATCCGAGGAGGGTACACATTAATCCGATGCTGAACCTCTGCAGGTTGCTGGCTTCGAAAAGAGATGATATTCTCATCACCTGCGTCGTCACGGAGGAGTGGCTCGGCTTCCTCGGTTCTGAAACCAAGCCGGCTAACTTCCGATTCGGTTCCATACCCAATGTCGTGCCGTCGGAGGTGGGTCGGGGCAAGGACTTCCTGGGCTTTTACGAAGCCACTCTGACAAAATTGGAGGATCCGTTCGAGAGGTTTCTGGATCTGCTTGAGCCGCCGCGGCCGTCTGTTATCATTTACGACACGTATCTTAAATGGGTGGTCGGCGTTGGGAATCGGCGAAATATTCCGGTGGCTTCGTTTTTCACGATGGCGGCGTCGGTGTTCTCGTTTTTCCATCACTTCGATCTCCTAGTGCAGAACGGCCATTTTCGGGCTGATGTGTCAGGTGCGTATTCATTGGTAGGAAAATGATATTACAATTGAAGTATGTAGCCTCTCCAATTTGGCATTTCATCTCTTTCTCTCTCATCTCTTCTCTCTCCTTTCTTTCTTTTTCTCATTTTATTTATTTCTCTCTCATTTCTTCTCTCTCCTTTCTTTCTTTTTGTCATTTTATTTTTCTCTTTAATAGTCTAACATCTCACTCACAGGAAAAGAAGTAAAAAGTGGGTTTATTTTTTTTAAAAAAATAAAATAAATCCATCTCAAACCACTGATCAAATACATATATAAAATACATATACTTCAATTTATCTCTTTGAAATTTTGTTAAAGACTGTGAAGTACCATACAAATATTTACCTTCCCAAAAAAAAAAAAAAATTACGCATATGATACAATATATATAGATATATATAAAAATATGATATATGATACGAAATATCATATATCATGATACGAAATTTTTTTAAATTTTTTTTCTCTCTTCAAGTTAAAGATGATAAGAAATATTGTTTAAAAAAACGAAACAAAGAAGGAGAGATTTAATAACTATTATAAGAGAAGAACTTAATATAGAACTTGACAGTATGATAAACATGAATCTGCGGACGTGTATATTGTTTTCCCTTTTTTTTTTCTTTCTTTTTTTTTATTTATTTATTAATGTTTGGTTAAAATGTTTATAAAGAAAATAAATATTAAAACCTATTAATATCAAAATTAACGTAGCAATTGATTTTTGACTTATTTTAGACACTAGACCTTTGTGAAACAACTTAAAATAAAATAAAAATAAAAATATATTTTATCTAAAAATATATATATTTTTTCCAAGTAAGATATTTTATGTCAAAATAAACAAAGCTTAAGAAATTATTAAGTAATACAAATTTTTGTTTTTCGGAAGTTAAGCTGTATTGATTGTATAATGTACAAGATATAGGCAGGGCAAAGCCCATTACACCAGACCAGCCCAAAAGCTGTCAAAACAAATGGCCCAAGTCCATCAAAGCTGAAACAAAGACGAATAATAGTCTAACAAACCTTAGACTAAGGTACTATTTTATAAAACTGAAAATTAAGCACTAAAAATTTCAAGTACTGCATTTTAAGCGTGGAAATTTTAAGTGCTGAATATATTAATTTGAAAATTTGTTTGATAACATTTTAATTTTAAGTGCTGAATTTTTTAAGATTGTTTGTTATACACAAAAGCTAAAATTTAAAAATTGTACATATTACATTTTTGCCCTCAATATCTAATACTCATAACAGTTTTATATTTATAATACAAAAATATCAATAAAACAACCACATTCACTCAATAAAATAAATAAATATGAAAATTTAAAATATATGACTTTTGTATTACATAATATTTATGTATGGTATGAAAAGGGTGTTACAAATATTAAAGAAAGTAAAATATATGAGTTTTGGATTGAATAATATTTAGATAGGGTATTGAAAAGGTGTTACAAAGATTAAAGAAAATACTTGAAAAAGAATTCTTATTTAGTAATAAAATTTTATTATATAAATAATTGATGGAAATTTTAAGGGTCTGTTTGGCTGGGCTTTTTGTAGCCTCGAAATGAGCTTCTAAGTCCAGAAAGTCCTTTGCCAATAATAAAGAGCGTTTGGTAAAATTTTTTAAAACGGACTTTTAAAAAATCTCAGTGATTTAGAAGCCCGATTGACCAAAATCAATAAAACATACTTCCTGATCGACTTTACGCAAGTTATACACTTTTTTTTTTAAGTAATAAATATAAAATTCCTATATTGTCCATTATTTAACCTATTTCAATTTCAATTTCTATTTCTGAATTCCATTGCAAACTTTTTTTTTCTCTCTTTCTCTTTCTGTATCATCTTCTTCATTTGTTCTTTATCCAAAAATAAAAAATAAAAATAAATTTTAAAATTTTAAGCAAAATTTCACAGATCTTTACTAAAAAAAAATATTTTTGAAAAACCATTCAACAAAGGAAAAATAATGACATCGAGGAGTTGCAGGAACTATCGACTCCCATTTAACTTCAAAGCCTAAAGAGTTCAAGGATTTATGAACTATCATCTAAAATTTAACCCTATGTAGAATTCTAAATAACTTTTCTTTCTCACAATATATATATATATATATATATATATATATATATATGAATATATAATTTTTCTTTTAAGGCTACCATTCTACTATTAAAGTAATTTATAGCTATAAATAAGAACAAAAATAGGATATTTTTGTTGCTATCTCTTTCTTTCGTTTTATTTTTCTTTCATTTTCTTTTTCCACGATCTCTTTCAAATTTTATTATATATATATATAAAAACTTCTATCATATAGATTGGATAAATTTGTATACCTTGATCATCACTGTGTATGCATTATACGCAATTTCACTCCATCACTTTAATTTTTTATTTTTTTTCCTTCTCCTATGTATACATCTTAAGTCAACTCTATGCTATTATTCATGAATTATTAAAGGTATAATTGTCGAGTTAAATTATGTTGATAATTAAAAGAACTTCAAAAAATTCATCTACCAAACAACTTTTTTGTTTTAAATTCCTTTCATCAAAATACATTCTCCAAAGCCAATTTAATGGAAGGAATTTTAAAAACTGGAAGCTCCCCCAAACAGGCCTAAATCTATGGGTTTTGGATTACATAATATTTATGTAGGTATGGTGTTACAGAAATTAAAGAAAGTAATATTTAAAATATATGTGTTTTGAATTACATAATATTTATATAAGGTATTAAAAAATGTGTTACAAAAATTAAGGAAAGTGAAAAAGAATTTTTATCTAGGAACATAATTCTATTATATATTTTCAGAACCTCGTGGAATTATTCAAGGTGAGCGCAAGCTGGCCGGGACACTCACGATTACCAAAATAATAATAATAATAATAATTCTATTATATAAATTGTTGATGATGGATTCTGCGCAACCCAGATCTGATCTAACTTCCTGGACAGAGAGAAGAAAAGATGATCCTACAAGTACCGGTGTGTTACCGGTGGAGTAGGCTTCGACGAATAAGTCAGTGTGCGAACTAATCTCTTAAGAGAAATCAAGAACTTGAGTTAGGGTTTTTTGTGTACCTCAAAACGTTGATTCCCCCGCCTTTTTTATAGGGCTTAGGTTAAGATGTCACGTAGAATTACCTTATTGTAATCTGTAGACTTAATACTCATCGTAATCTTTAATCCTTATCACAATCTTTAATCCTTATCGTAATCTGTAAAGCCTATCTCAATCTGTAATCCTTATTGTAATCTGCAGAGCCTATCTCAATAGTGCGTTAATTTAGTAATCTTCCCTTAATTATGGATATTTAAATTATACATCCATCAGTTGCCCCCCGTTTCGGAGGATTGCTTGTCAAACCACCGGAACGTTAATTCCAAAATATCACACAATAATATATAGTTAGAATTGCAGAGCCTTGTCCATTAGCCTGACTTATATTGTCATTTTGCGAATACAGTCGGGGGTCATAGTATCACATTGGCAGCTCGTATATGTGGCAAGCTCGTATATTTGTCGTATATTGGCAAGCTTGTATATTTGTCGTAGTGCCACATTGGCAGCTCGTATATGTGGCAAGCTACCATGCTGGTAGTCTACCGTTATGTGGCAAGCTGCCATGCTGCCGTGGCAAGCTGTCCTGCTGGCATGCTGCCGTTATTTGTCAAGTTGCCCTGGCAGACATGTTGCTTTTATTTGGCAAGCTGCCTTGCTGGCATGCTGCCTTTATTTGGCAAGCTGCCCTGCTGGCATGCTGCCTTTATTTGGTAAGCTGTCCTACTGGCATGCTGCTGTTATTTGGCAAGCTGCTCTGCTGGCATGCTGCCTTTATTTGGCAAGCTGCCCTGCTGGCATACTGCTTTTATTTGGCAAGCTGCCCTGCTGGCATACTGCTTTTATTTGGTAAGCTGTCCTACTGGCATGCTGCCGTTATTTGGCAAGCTGCTCTGCTGGCATGCTGCCTTTATTTGGCAAGCTGCCCTGTTGGCATGCTCCCATTATTTGGCAAGCTGCCCTGCTGGCATGCTACCGTTATTTTATACTTGATTTTATTGACATCTTTAGTCGGCTCGTCCCTTTAATAAGGAAAGCAGATTAAGACGAGTTTCACGTAACTCGTAATAAGGTAAGGAGATGAATATGAGCTTCACTCAGCTCACCCTTTAACAGGGGAAGTAGATTACTATGAGCTTCACCCAGCTCACCTTTTAACGAGGGAAGTAGATTACTATGAGTTTCACTCATCTCACCCTTTAACAAGGGAAGTAGATTAATACGAGCTTCACCCAGGTCACCCTTTAACAGGGGAAATAGATTAATACGAGCTTCACCCAGGTCACCCTTTAACAGGGGAAGTAGATTATTATGAGCTTTACTCAGCTCACCCTTTAACAAGGAAAGTAGTTAACCCCTCATCTTTTTACGAGGGAAGTAGATTACTATGAGCTTCACTCAGCTCACCCTTTAATAAAGGAAGTAGTTAACCCCTCGTCTTTTTACGATGGAAGTAGATTACTATGAGCTTCACTTATCTCACCCTTTAACAAGGGAAGTAGATTAATACGAGCTTCACCCAGGTCACCCTTTAACAGGGGAAGTAGATTAATACGAGCTTCACTCAACTCACCCTTTAACAAGGGAAGTAGTTAACTCCTCATTTTTTTATTAAGGGAAGAAGATGAAGCTAACCCTTCATTCTTTTAAGGGGGAAAGATGTATGGTCTTAACATGGGAGTCATCTCCTCTGATGGTTGTCTCGAGATGTTGGCAAATCGTTGACATTTGTCGCACTTTTGAACGAAGTCAAGTGCATCTTTCTGCATGGTGGGCCAATAGTATCCCAGTCGGATGGCCTTGTTAGCAAGTGACCTACCCCCAGCATGGTTTCCACAAACTCCTAGGTGGATCTCCCTTAAAATGTAGTCAGCTTCCTCGCTAGAAACGCATCGTAAATACGGCA